TGTATTTGTACACATCACATGAACCTTGGTATGTAATATGAAGTCATTATTCAGTCCTGATGTATCTCAGTCCCTGCAGTGGTGAAAGTCGAGTGATAAACACCTATTTTACTCAAAATTTGAATTTAACGTTTTTCATTTTAGACATGAATAACACATTTATATACAATGTAATTCAAATATTTCACTGCTTTTGTGATCCTAGGACTTTGATAACCAAATCTAAAACACCAAAACAATTCGATCACATGAGTAAATTTGTGTTTTCACAAGAGTTTTGAAGATTTTCCAAAAATCGGATTTCACATTTTAAGCTTTTGAGCGACTTATCTCATCAAACAGTGCTCTAAGGTGAGCAATATGCATATATAGCAAGACCAGAGATTGTCCTGAACATTTTGATATTTAACACATGGGGTGCCATGTTAGAAGAAATACATTTAAAAGGTGATTTAAGAAAACATCTAAAAATCGAGAAAATACCCTTAGACTCCAGAGGGTTAAGAATGGTAAAACTGCGCCCCCTGGGTTGTCATTCCTAAATTATGAATGACTGCTTGTGGAAAGTTTGCTAGACTACTGGTTGCATGGCAACTAGGCATCTCGCGAGTTGCGGTAATTGGTTAGTACAATAAAGAAAGGATTTGTTTTGGAATTATTTTGTGTTCCGTTTTTTCTTGGGCGGCCCTCAATCCAATATTGGGTACCTAAATTGGCCCTCACTCATCAAAACTTTAAGAACCCCTGGTCTAATGGATAGTGAGGTGGGCTGAAGATCGGAAGGCTGTGAGTTCAAATCCCGCCAGGAACACCACCACTAGTGTGCCCTTGAGTAAGGCACTTAGCCCTTAGTTACTCCGGGGAGAATGTACCTGTAATCGGTCATTATAAGTCGCTTTGGATAAAAGCGTCAGCTAAATGAAATGTAATGTGATTAGTCAAATATGCATGAATAAATAAATAAAAAGTTAACTAGGTGAAAAAAGGTAAGATACACTTTTAAAACTTGTTGAGAGAAAACTAGTCTTTGCTTCTGCCTCGAAGAGGAGCAGGGGGGAGAGGAGGGAGACAGGAGAGGCTGATTCAGGAGCAGACACACTCACAACTATAAATGAACCAAACATAAATTAATAAACAAGTTTCAGTGTTTTTTTCATATTGGAAATGGTATGTTATTGGTTATGGCCATGATTTTATGATTATTGAAATGTATAGAGTTCTGTTTAATATAGGTGTTTCCATAGATCTAGTCTCTTTATTTTCCCCTCAAAATGCACCAGATTGATGCATTTAACTCCAAAATAAAATCTTACCGGGGGGGCATGCCCCTGGACCCCCCTAGAGATTTGAGGTCGACCCCCACTAAAAATCACATGGATAGGTTCCTAAATACATTTATAAATACATTTATTTTTTAAAATAGTAACTCATTTCCATATGTTCATGTGTGGGTAGTAGATTTAAACTATAGGGCTATCATTATGGGCCCTGCCTGTACCTGTTCGCTCTGCCATCGCGTGAAGGGTCTGCTAACAAGCGACCAACAGAAATGTTAATGTTGTTGTTGTTGTTGCACCCCCCCCCCCCCCAAGGAATGAAAAGTCAATAAATAAACATGTTGTTAAAACTTTTTTTTTTTTAAACATGAAAATACAATGACAAGCAAGTCCTAATGTCAAACTGGCTGCTTAGATACTAGTACAGTACAGTTCAAATACAGATTATTTCAGTTCATCGAAATGCATCACCTTAATGTTTATTTTATTATATTTTGTATTTATTTGAGTGAATACATTATTCACAGTTCAGGGCTCGACATTATAAATGGCCCGCTGGCCCGGAAGCACTATTTAGACACCCCGGGCCAGCATAACGTACTTTCCACTTGCCCGCTCGGGCCACTAAAAATATTGTTTAAAAAAAATGTCCTGTGGTATTGGGATTTTGACTAGCAATTTAGTTAAATTGTTTCGTTTATTAACGCTACAACATAGCGTTTTGTGAGTCCCTTGTCGTTGTTGGGTGAAACGCAAACAGCGGTTTGCTGCGGAGCGCAGTGCGAGCAGGCTCCCGTGAGCGGGAGCGCGCTCCTTCACTACAGACTATCGCGCCACCTAACCATTCGCCAAAATGTTTTTAATACCAGCGGTAACCGGCCAAGCGCCGGGCAAAAAACAATCTTCAAATAAAAGAAAGTCACCGGAGGAGTTAAAGGAGAGTGACAGGGAGTATGAGAAGAAGAGGGAGAGAAAGTTTCAGCCAGCTTGATCGATGGAGTTGGCTGCAGTGACGCATCCTAAAACCCTTTTATAATCTATCGATTAGATTTATGATTCGAAAATTATAAAAGTAGGGTAGACATTAGGGGTGTTGAAAATAATCGTTTCTACGATGCATTGCGATGCGGACGTGGACGATTCGGTATCGATGCAGTGACGGAAGATAATCGATTATAGCGTAGTAACGTTGCTTCCTGATTTTCCGGCCGCGGCTTTACTATAACGTTTTTTTCCCTGTCACTTTAATATCAAATCGGTCGGTGACGCAGAGATCAGGGAACAGACGAGACAGCGGCACAGCAACACCAAACACGGAGCAGTCTGCTTTATCCACCAACACAACACCACCAGTCCAGAACCAACAGCAGAAGGACCCGCTCTGAATCACTCCGTGTCGCTGCGGCTCAGAGACACAGGGATTTATGTTTTTCAAAAATAATCGCGTTACAATCATGTCAGGTTTTTGGTGGATTTAATTAAGTCTTGGATTGCAGAGTATGAATGCCCTCTAGCAATTTTCAGACGATATATACGTGTATAAAGTTTGTGAAGGCAGGAGGAAAAAAAGCTTCCGCGATCACCGTCTCCTCTGCTGCTCCAAACCCCGCCCCCTCCCTGAAAATAATGAGTGACAGGCTGACAGTGACCTGATAGAAACTTTATTATTCACTTAATCACTGAGATATAATGAAGCTAACTTAATCTCATACATTCATGGGATTTATGCAACAGTAAGACAGAGAATGTAAGTGTGCACCCACATGCAGTATTTTAGTTGTTATATGCTGTTGTAAATACTCCTGTTGTCTGCTGTGTTCAGACTCAAGTCCTGTGTGTGATGCCACATTCAGGACATTCAGTGTCCTTTCTTTAACAGAAGACCGTTGCTAGAAGCTGCAGCTAGACTGCAGAAGCATTAATTTTTCTGAGGATGGAACAACTTCACACACAGATATAGGGAGGCTAGACCTATACAATTCATTTATTTTGGTTTATAAATTAATGTCAAGACATTTATGTTATTGATTTCTGAAGCACTTTCTAAATAATAAAAAGAGAGTTCATATGTATTTACTGCATGTATGCATTGATGAAAAATAAGCCATGTGCAGTAATATAGAAAATTGAGGATGCAACGCATTGGTATGAATCGTGATGCATCGGGATATCGAATTGAATCGAATCGTTGACAGGATAATCGTAATCGAATCGAGAGACCAGTGAAGATGCACAGCCCTAGTAAACATGTGGATATTATCCGGCTGAATAAAACGTGCATTTATCAAACAGGTTAGATTTCCACAGACCTTATTTCTAGCTATTTTCCAAAACCCTGTGGAGAAATCCCATTACTTTTTTGTTGAGGGAACCAGCAGCTTACGGCCCGTCCACACAGCGGCATGCGTTGAAGCTTGCCGGCGGACGTGTCTGAAACTCGACCAACAACCAATCACATGACTCTCCCGCCCCTGACACACGAGCAGCGGTTTGATTGGCTAGAGCTTGTACTGGCATATGATTCGATTGGCTGACGCTTCTGTCGAGGCTTCAAAAGTTGAACATTGGTCAACTTTTGCAGCGAACCACGCCAGCAAAGCTCCGGGTCGCTTCCCGCAATGCAGTTCGGCGAAAAGTGACGCTTCCTGGTTTTAGGATGCGTCACTGGCTGCACCTCTCAATATGATGCCAATATAAACAAGGTCTTCTGTCGGCTCTGTACATCAATGCCCACCTATGCTGACAAGTAAGTGAAGAGTAGAAAATATAAAGGTATTGGCTATAGGGAAATGTCCCAGCAGTTTAGGAGAATGAAGGTTCTAATCTAATCTATTACATAGCCATTACATTTCTAACTCCTAATGACAGGAAGGCAGAAAGCGCATTATACAAATAATAATACTCATAACCTTGAGAGCCTTGAAAGGCACCTATATCAAATAAATGAATTATTATTATTATTATAATAATAGCAGATATTTTTTAACAATGACCACAATATCATTATTTTAATAAACCAAATATGAACAATTGAGGAAAATGAGGACGAACTGATGATTCAAATGTTATAGTACAAGTAGTAATGTAGTTAGTGCATAAATTACTATTGCAACAAATGTGTTCATTTTCTTCATTATTAGTCGATTGGACGAATGCTTCGGGCCAGTGGTTATAATGGTGGGGCAGGTGGAATTTTACCCTTAATGTCTACCCCTGAGTAGTGACATGAGTATTATCAGCTTTAAGCGGTTGAAATATCAGCAGCAAGTTCTGCCAACGTATATCTCATTATACACGTTAGTTTGTAGTTTTTCTAGTCTTTGTGATGTTTTCTGACGATCAAAATAATTCAAACACACCTTCCGTTCCATATTATCATCGTCATGCAGTATACCTATCGTTACAGTAAAAGTGGAGTTAAAGCAGTTTTTGACCGAGGTATTTCTCCCCCTCCTAATGAAGACATTTTGAATGTAGGACTTTAGTATTCAAGACTATATCATGTGATTAATTACGGTTCATTTACCGGTGTATATCACATAGCATACCTTATTTTGAAGCTGTCCTAGTGTTTTATCTGTGTTTTCTGACGAAAAAAATAATGGAATCTCATCGTTAGCATAAAAGTGGCTAGACTTTGAGTAATGTTAACCTGTGTGGCGTTAGCACTGCTAACGTAAGTATGCCATCCGGGACACCGACGTTAACGTTAGCTTTACTCACTTTTCTAGTTTCTTGGAAATCTCCTCAACTTCGCCGTTGTGTTGAGAGTTATCCATCCTGTGTGTTAGCTTGTCCACGATTAACAAACACAATTCTGGAATTTTTCGGTAGAAGAACCCCACAGACACACCGACAGCTGCTGCTGAGAGGAGTTGTGTGTTGTTGTGTTTGAAACGCAGCTAACCTCCCCGCCAAATAGTTCTTCTTCTTCTCTCGGTTTTTGGCAGATTGCAAACAACTTTAAGGTGCATACCGCCACCTACTGTACATGAGTGTGAATCATCATATCATTCCATCTCTTAACTCATGGACGTATATATCTATGATCTAATCAAAAATAAATAAATAAACAAAAAACATAAAATAAATAAACAAAACAACAATCTATGATCTGTTCTAACCTAATGTTAAATTATTTGTCCTACCCCAGTTTCACTCAGAAAGGTAAACAGTGCCTTTCTGGTAGCTCTTACTCCCTCTCCTTGTGTTCCCAGAATACCAACCACATTCCCTTCCCTCTCTGCCTCCATAACTTTATCCTTTAGTTTTTCTCTTTCAGCTTTATAGATGTCACAATGTAATAATAATAATATATTTTATTTCTATAGCGCTTTTCTTGAATCCAAAGACGCTTTACATTTGGGAGGGAGGGTAGACAAACAAAACAAAAAACAAAAACAAAGCCAAAGCCAAAAAGAAACAAAACAAAACAGAAAAGCAGTCAGGAGGAAGTTGATTGAGAGGGGGGGGGCTTATTGATACAGAGGTGGGTTTTGAGGCGGGACTGGAACAGGGTCAGGGACTCTTCACACCAGCGCTTTTTCAGCTCCGGCTCGGAGCTGGAGCCTGAAAAGCACCAGTTTTTCCTGTTCACACCGCAGCGGCGCCGGCTCTTAGCTCTGGAACGGCCCGTCCACACAGCGGCGTGCGTTGAAGCTTCCAACGCTTCTGCCCATTCACTTTGAATGGGGTGACGTCACTTTTAGCCGAAATGCATTTTGGGAAGCGACGCCAGCTACGCCAGCAACGCCAGCTACGCCAGCGTTGCTGGCGTAGCTGGCGTCAAAAGTTGAGCAATGTTCAACTTTTGACGCCTCGACGGAGGCGTCAGCCAATGAAATCCCGTTTATTCAAATCTGCCAGTACAATCGCATAGCCAATCAAACCGCGTGTATGCTGGGAGAGACTACGCAGGTCATTTCCTCATATTCAAAAAAATTGAGGGGAAATTCATTGTAGCGGTAGTGAATCACCCGGTGCTGTATGATCAGTCTCTGTTCATCTACCGGGATACAAACCGGAGGAGCGAGGCATGGAGGGAGGAGGCAGAGACAGTGGGTGAAACTGGTAGGTTTTCGCCTGTTTGGGGATTTTATATCCAGTTTACTTCGTTTTAACATTGCTATTGCTTTGTATGTCGGGGGCGGGAGATTCATGTGATTGGTTGTTGGTCGTGTTGCTCGCAAAAAATCCCCAAGCTTCAGATACGCCCACCTCCAAGCGTCAACGCACGCTGCTGTGTGGACGCTCCGGAATCCGGTTCACTTCCAGCTCCAAAAAATTGTCGGTCTAGAGGCAAGAGCTTCGGAGCTAAGAGGCGGCGTCACTTACGTCTCTCTTAAGTCGAGGCGTGCAGGAAACTAAACCCACCTCCCCTGAACATGGGTCGACTGTCATGCATGCCTACAAGCAGTAGTGCTTATAAACACACTTTATAAAGTCAGGCAACACTAACCCTGCTTCGTGTGATTCTGTTTATTTGTACCTTACTTTGACCATCCGTTCATTGTTATTGATCATTGTGGAGAGAGGCAGACGTTTTGTTTTGTATTATAGCAGCTATAGGATGGAATCAATACATGGGCTGCACAGGTTGTCGTGTCCGACTATCACAAGTAGAATCATAATAAAAATACGCCGGTAAAATGTGCCTGTAGAAAACGGTTTATGCCACAATAGGATAGCAATAGCAAGTAGTCAGTTTAGCTTCGGTTGCTATGCTAACATCACCCATTTTATACCAGAGAAACTTTCATAACAGCGTTGTGATGCCAAACAGCGTCAATTCAGACTGACACACATTCACTTAGGCTAAGGGGAACTGGGGATATGTATCAGCTGCTTGTGTGAGTCGGACAGTGAATACTTTAGAGCGGCCGCTGCAGTGTGAGCTAACCGGGAGCTAACGGGAGAATAAACTCCCGTGGAAGAGCAGCCAACACTGCAGCGGTCGGTAAATGCTGCAGAAACACATTAATAAACAATGAACCACGGCACTCTGGAGAAAAGCATAAGGTTGGAGAAGTCGTTATTTAATTTAATCTGGCTTCGTGTGATTAAAAGCAACACGATCATCGACCCGACGCAGTTGTTGTTGTTGTGAGCGCCGTAACGCCGTTGGGGAGCAAATCAGCGATGTAAACGGTGACGTCATGACGCAGCAGGGGCAGCACCCAGTCGGGCTCTGGGCCGGGCGGTGTGAACAGAGCGGGAGCAGAAAAGGGAAACTGGAGCTGAACCAGAAAAGCTCCCGCTCGGAGCTAGAAAGGGAAAAGCGCTGGTGTGAAAGCCGCACTAGACCGACAATTTTTTGGAGCTGGAAGTGAACCGGATTCCGGAGCTAAGAGGCGGCGCCTCTGCGGTGTGAACAGGAAAAACCGGTACTTTTCAGCTCCAGCTCCGAGCCGGAGCTGAAAACGTGTTGGTGTGAAAGGGGCCGGAGGTATTTGGGGAGGGAGTTCCAGAGCTTCGGGGCTGCCACAGAGAAGGTTCTGTCCCCGAAGCTTTGGCCTTGGGGATGGAAAGCAAACCGGCTGAGGTGGATCTGAGGGACCGGGGTGGTTGGTAGAGGATGAGGAGGTCAGTGAGGTAGGGGGGGGAGCAGATGGTGGAGGGCTTTGAAAGTGAGGACCAGGAGTTTGTAGTGGATGCGGTGTGAAACGGGGAGCCAGTGGAGTTCTTTGAGGACCGGGGTGATGTGATGCCATGATTTGGTGTGGGTGAGGAGTCTGGCGGCTGCGTTCTGGACACGCTGGAGTCTATTGAGGGATGTAGTGCTGATGCCGTCGAGGAGTGAGTTGCAATAGTCAAGGCGGGAGGAGATGAAGGCGTGAATGAGTCGCTCAGCTGCAGGGCGGGTGAGAGAGGGACGGAGTTTGGCAATATTGCAGAGGTGGAAAAATGAGGTTTTTACAACTTGACGGATGTGGGGCTCGAGGGAGAGGGTGGGGTCAAATATAACGCCAAGGTTGCGTGCCTGGGTGGAGGGGGAAACAGGGGTGCCATCAATGGTGACTGTCAGGCTGGGGTTTTTGCTGAGGGTGGATTTGGAGCCGATGAGGAGGAGTTCAGTTTTATTGCTGTTGAGTTTGAGGAAGTTGTGTTGCATCCAAAGAATTGATTGCAGTCACACAGGATTCGATGTGGGTGAGGGGGGGGGGGGTTGTTGGGGGATTTGGTGCTGAGGTAAATCTGGGTGTCGTCGGCGTAACAGTGAAAGTCCAGGTTGTATTGGCGGAGAATCTGACGGGGAGGATGTAGATGATGAAGAGGAGGGGGCCGAGTACTGTAACAATATGTTCTACATTTTCTTTAACTCCACAGCTCCCACACTTGTCACTGTCACTTTTCCCCATGATATAGAGCGCAGGGGCGCCGCCGCCCCACGAAAATATATCACATTGGGCCCCACCACCAGGCCAAGGCCACACCAACCAAGCACAATGCTGTAACCACACCTCCGGAACCCAACCGACTCATTTATGGTTTAAATAACTCTACCTGTACAGGCTTGCATCTATCTTGTAGTCCAATACAAACTGCACAATATTTACTGACACTGAGCGGTGAAAATATAACACTGTGCAGACGTGCAACATTCTACTGCAGTATAATTCACTATTTTATATAACACTAACATTCCTGACAATAGATCTCAATAGTCATCTTTTATGGTGTACATGCCTTTTTAATAACATTTTTGAATGGAACATTCAAAAATCTAAATAAATATAACTTAAATATACATGACCTCTTAAATTAAAATAAAGTGAACATTAACACCAATATTATCATTTATAAAATGCTATAACAAAAAAATAACATAAGCAGCAGATTTTTTTAATTAAATATACATACCAACTCATGGGCGCGGGAAGGGGGGTGCTGAGGGCGCTGCAGCACCCCCTAGCGGCAGGCAGGGGGTGTGGAGCTCCCCTGTCTGAATTATTATTTGACGGTTATTGCTGCTCCCGCTGTGCATAATCTGTGTAATATGTAGCCAATAAATTCCACATTGTTGGTAAAATAATATTTTGGCCTGCCCCGAATGTTTTTTCTGTAGCCCCGGACAATTCTACCTCAATAATATAATACATTAACCGTGCTTTACGTGAACCTCATCATGACACTAGAGAGGACGACAGGACTGTAATTTCCCGTGTTCAGTGAATGCATCAGAAGCCACCAGACCAATCAAAGAGTTGCATGGAAATAAAAGTGTGCTTGTGTTATTCAAGCTCGGCTCTGTGTGTGTGTGTGTGTGTGTGTGTGTGTGTGTGTGTGTGGGTGTGTGTGTGTGTGTGTGTGTGTGTGTGTGTGTGTGTGTGTGTGTGTGTGTGTGAGAGGGAGAGAGAGAGGGACCGGTGCCAGCAGCAGGGACCGTGTTGTAAGCATCTGGTTAGCTCAGGGTTTTTCAAAGTGGGGGCCGCGGCCCCCCAGGGGGCCGCCAGGGGGCGCCAGGGGGCGCCAGGGGGGTCGCGAAAATGTTGAGGGAAAGGGAAAAAAGGGGGTAAAATGTAAAAAAAAAAAATAATATGTTTTTTTAGATGTTATTAATAATTGCATATCTATCAATCTATGTGTCCTTTGATGCCCAATTGTTTAATATATTAAAAAAAAATTAAACAACACGACCGCCCTTCAAGCCAATCAGAATCGAGCTGTCGCTACTGAGAGTGTAACTGAGTTGCTGTGTGAACACTAGCTAGCTACCTCCTGCTAAAGGATCAAATGGACAAATATCTTAAAAGAAAAACACCATCTGACGATCAGAATGAAGATGTCCCGGCTGCAAAAGATTCACAGCCACGGAATACCTGGCCGTCTAAAACTCGGAGGTATGAGCCATCATACATAAAGTTTGGTTTTACCGCGGCAAGTAAGAACGGCCGTGATGTACCTAAATGTGTTCTCTGCCTCGAGATCCTCGCCAACGAGTGTCTAAAGCAGTGTTTCTCAAA